TAGACCTTGTTGAATGTTTTCCGAGTAATTGTTGTATGTCGTATTTTTATATTGATTAATGCACGGGTTAGATAAGGATATATGAATTCAACAGAATTCCGTATATTATTTTAATATTAAAATTAACGGCAATTTAAAATATATTTAAATATTCAATATGTTAAACCTTTCTGTGGAATTGTTGTTTCTTGCAATTGAAAAGTTAAATACTGTAATAAACGTTACGGCAGTTCTACAATAGGGCGAGCTTTCGGTTAAGAATGAATGAATGGTGGTTAGGCTATGGCTGTTAATTGTTAAATAAATTGATGAGTTTTGAAGCAGAAAAGAGAAAAGAGAAAAGTGTAATATTCACTTTACATGTTAACTCGTAGTTTTAATTTTGGTTTTGGAACTATTCGGTATGAGTTTATTTTTGTTGAGAAGATGTACGTTCACTATTCAGTGAGTATCTTTGGTACTTCTGAACTATTCTGTTCAAAGATACCATTATGTTGATAAGTTTTGGCCAAGTATTCGGCGTGTAGGCTTATTCAATGCAACGATTTGATAATGGAATCTGTTTTTTTTTTCATTATATGTATATTATTCTTTCAATACAATTTAAATGTTTGTTAAAACCCTAATCTTTTTAACGAGGAACGCTTTGCTCTTCACTTCTTTTGAATGAAATAATTTTTACACATGCTGTTGGCCCTTTTAACTGGTTTAACGCGTCTATGTATATAGTCTTACTGTATAGTTATTTACATGAATCCATCGATGGTTTAAAGCTAACTCAAACTTATTAATTTTTAAATACAAGAACCTGTTCATTAGCTTTTTGTCATAAAATTTGTGAAACTTGTGCGTTGAACGTTAAAGAGCTATTTGAAGTCACAAACAAGGGAAATTCGGTCATATAATTTTAATATGGTGTTATTGATATATCTCTTTAAACACAAATCAATTGTTACACCCGTATGGGACCACTGAGCCCTGTGTACGGAACTCCCCCCTTACAATGTGATTTTACATATTTTTTAATGGAGAAACAACAACACTTTCATTAATATGACTTCTTTATCACTGATCCTTTGGATTAAGCTCGGGTAACGTCCTACTTTAACAAATACACACAGAGAAATACCAATGACAAACATTTAGTTTATATCAGTGCACTAAAATGTATAACACTTCAAAACAGATTTAGACTTACAAAACATGAGAAATCTATTTCCTCAAATCAAAGACAATTGCACAATCCAAAATTATATAAGAGTACGTCGGCGTATTTTTTAGTCTCTTCTTTTAAATTTCTCACTAGTACCTAATCAACTAGTTTGTTCCTGTTGTAGTTTCTTCTCCTGTTTTTTGTTACTTACGTCAATGCTGCTGTAAATTTAGTTCTTGAAATCTACTTTCGTATATACGTGTTTCGTGTCTACTTTCGTTTATACCTATGCAAAAAATAAGCTTATCGTATGTCTGAAAAACAAATGAACATGTTGAAGTAGAGCTGGTTTGTTTTAGTATTATGGTAAAACAATAACAAGACAGCTCGGGGCTTAGCTCTGTACTTTCTCTTTTAGCTCCGAGTACGAGTAGCTTGGTTTGTGGAAACATAAACTATTGAGCTATACTTTCTAATATCATACAATAGTTTGTACCAAGGCAGATTTCTCTAGCGACCAATTTTATTGAAAACAACCATTTAAAAGTTTAAAACATGTCATCGAATGTCAGTTTTAGCATAAAATTGTTTCCGTAAAACTGTAGAAAGATGACATAGGTGGGGAAGATGTAATTTTACGTAACTGAAACAAAGAGAAGAATAAATACACTTTCAGTTGAAATGCTTGTCAGAAAATACGTCAATTCCCAAGATAATAGCTGGTATTATGAGCCCTTATTAATTTTTTTTTAAGTATTTACCCATTATTTGTACCCAATAACATAGTCTGTTAAGTTGCTTACCTGGTTTGATCGTATTTTTGTACAGTTATATTACGTTTGACTAGTTAATTTATTAATTTTGAGGGCAATACACTTTTTATAAGGTTTGGTATGTGTAGGTAATAATATGAGCACCGTTGTGTTGGTAATAGGAGTCCTGCAGTAACAGCATTAAAAGATATTTATTATAAATAAAAACTGCATTACAATGGCGAAAATGTTTTATTAAGTCAAACAAAGTCACCAAGAATTTATACATACAAAAAAGAAGTTTTTATGAACAAAATAACTATAATATACACATTATAACATAAATTACAACATAAAAACTATAATAACATATAACTGAGACAATAATGTATTTGCAAAAGTCACAGACATAATAGTCCTTTTCACACCCTGCACACTCGGGACCCAAAGCTCGATTTATTCGTCTTCGGAGAAGCAGGACTCGCAGAAGAGGCATACTGCATCATCGTCGCAGTTTTCAATGCATTTATGTGTGTCTTAATACTACAAAGCCACTAACCAAGTATCATAAAATTAATTAACAACTAAGCGATATATAACATGTTAATTATTCTCCATAAGAATACCATTGGGGCTAAGTACACTCGGGGCTCTTACTCGAGAAAAAGCTGTGAATGCCTTAACAATCGTCCAACGACTGCGACTCTGCTCCAGGAGCAGTCCCGTACGATAGACGTCAACGACTAAAGTCGCGTCAGTGACAACGGTGCCATTGAAAACAATGCTAAGCAGGCGCTATACGATTATCGTTCATCGGCTGTCGTCCAACGACTGCAGTTCCAGCCGCGCCAGTGACAACGTACCTTAATATAAGTGTTCAGAGTATTGGTCTTTTCCAAAAATATTGGGAAGTGCCACAAACACACGTTCTGTAATGCTCATTTCGCGGGAGAACAGGGAATTGTCCGATTGTTCCTTTACAACCTACCTTTTTGAACCCTTGTCACCCCCGGGTTTATCATATACTGTAGTACATGATTACAATCATACAATTTTTTAGCACAAGAAATATTTGTAAACTTGCGCATAAATAGGTCCATATAAAAAGTAAACTCACAAATGATTACTTTAAAATAGAAATATTTTTAATTTAGCTTAAACAAGTCACACTTACATTCACATAGAATTTATACAAAATCACCAAAGCACTAGTAGTAGGAGTATTCACTGTCAGTTCTGCGTCTTCTAAGCCGCTTGACTTTCTTCTGACGCGGCTGTTTGGCAGCCAGATCCACAAACGGCTTCTTATCACTGTCGCTGAGAGACCTCCACGCCGCAGCCGCCTCCCTTATCATCTCCTTGGGACTGAACTCCCCCAGGTGCGAGTTGCGAAATGCTTGCACAAAGTTTATATAAGGCATCCTTGTGGGCTTGGGTACCAAGTTTGTCGTGGTTTTCTTCAACCCAGCTTTTCCTGCTTTATCCATGATTCACACAAATTACGAAATTTGCAAAAATTTGATTGATGAAGATTGTCGAATTTATAAAGCTCCTGGTGCAATGAAGATAATTTACAGACTGATTTATTTTTTGTTTCCTAGGAAACCACATTTAAAATCTATGTTTATTTATACCTAGACTATTTGTACGGACTCTATTGACATTTTGGTTTAGAATTAAACTTATTTTTTATTCAAAGGTGCTCAGATCACTGCTTGTATTTTTTTGTGTTGAACACCTGATTCTTTGAACACCTGATTCTTTTTCAAAATTTGCAATGTTTGGAAATAAGGGGAGTTCAGATGGGTTTCTTTAGGTCATGCCTAGAAGATATGTTCCATGATGAAGTTGGTGGTAACAAATCATCTGATTCACGTTACATTTGGCGTGTCACAAGGTTCTCTTTAGATGCCAGTGTTATTTCTTTCCGTGGCAAATGATATGCCACCTATGCCACATCCTTTCTTAATGATTATTGTAGCGATTATCGGTAGGCCTAATACTGTTAGTATTCACAAACTGTGCATATTAATTGCTGATAAACCTCTGAATCATGCTGCCACATGATTTTGTTACAGTTTTGTCATTATAAATCAGATTTTGATATCTTTCGACATTTGTTTGTTATTTCAATAATTTTTTCGACAAGAACTTATGCAATAATGTGGTTTGACCAAAGCCTCAGACTCTTTCTTGAAGTAGATAGCCTACTGACTGATACATTAAGAAGTTGCTTAGACAGTTCACATTTTATTCAAACAGTTCTTCATTGCAATGAAATATAGCCATACTTTTGCGGATTACCGAATATCTTTGGCTGACGGGTCTTCTACAATTGACTGTGTCAGCATTAAATACACGTATGATAACAGCTTCTACTCACTGTAAAACGTGGGAAAATCTTTTGACGTCTCAGTAGAAAAGTTACTTTAAAAAATAACAAATGCATTTCTACAGCTTTGTTCGTTGACGAGTGCACTATTTAAGTAAGTGTATAACGTCCTAAAGTGTTTTTTTGTGTTTGGTGGTGAAAAGTTAATTGGTACTGGAAACTTATATCTCAAGTATATTGACTATGGTACCCTAAAAAAAAGGCAAGAAACAGGTTAGAATGGTAACACCAACAATTGTACTTCGAACGTCTTGGTAGTCTACTTACAATAAGTTACACAATACCCTATTAAAACACGTATTTTAACGCACTTTTTGAATATTTAAATTGATGCTAATGTTCATTAAGACGAAATTAGTCAATTCAAACACTTGCTTAGCACGACAAAGCGACATAGCACTTTATCACATCTCGATAACCCTTTACGGCAACCCTTCCCCGCAAGGCGGCGCCGTAATAACCTGTACAAACGATAGCATCAGCCGTAATAGGCACGGGCGGGGGATAAACTCTTTATATTTATTATTCAAAACCTTTTCAACGGATTTACTTTTTATTTCCAACTTGCGATAATTTATTCCGCGCGCTCGAACACGGTCGAACATCCCACATCGCTTTATTGAACAAGCGGAGTTGTGCAATATTTTTGTAGATAGTAGGTCAGGGTGGGCGTGGCGTGGAGGGGGGCGTGGTCACGTGGCGAGCGACGCGCCGATTAGCGGAGCGCGGTTAGGGGCGGGCGCATGGTGGCTATTGATTGGTCCCGCAGGGAGGGGAGATCCGGTTGTGGTAGTTTGAGCGTTCACCGCTAGAGCGCTACGGTCGTTCTGTCAGTTTGAGCATAGCGTCGATAGCGACCGCAACGGTTCGCGTTTGTTGTTGTTGGACCTAACCTCAATGTGATGCGGCGGAGGAGGTAGTGCCTAGGATCTGAGGATGTCTGCTTACGCCCAGTTCGGCTACGGCTACGGTTCACCGGCGTCCCAGGTAAATAAATGTGTTGTGTTGTGCTGTGATCGAACCCGTGAACACCAGTGTCAGTGCCAGTGATAGATAGTGATGTGAGAGTAGCGTAACTTAGTTGTACTGTAAGTCCATATAAGGGTTCCATATAAACGTGCTGATATCAGGTTATTTCATAGTATAAATAGCAAGTAAGTTAGGGGGGAAGTTTAATAAACATAAATTATTTTAACACCTTAATCTAATACAAACAAAGGTACAGTTTCAAACAAAATCCATAGAAAGAATGCGACTAAGTTATATCGAAGGAGAATAAGTTATTAAACATACCGTTGCTGTTATCCTTATTGATATCCAAACAAAATAAATTTATAAAAAAAAAACAGAGAACGTCTCTTTTGACTGCACTAATCTCTTTCTTTGAAACCTTATGTGTAATGTAAATATAAAAAAAACTAGTGGAATTTAACTAAAGTTCTACTGCTTTATGAAAGATATTAATATTTATGTACCTACCTTTGCAGCTAAATCAAGAAAGTAATTTTGTTTTGAAAGCTGTTCAAGAGATATAAAAATCCGTTAAAGTATACTATTTATTTAGCTTCTATTTATATCACTCATCCTTTAATAACTTAGACAATTTAAAACAGCAAAAATTTTTCTTTAGCTAATTGTTTGCCCACGGATTTTTATCATACATTTGAATAGGGTCGGCAATAAATAAATAAACTTATTAAACCATAATAAAACAACGCTAATTCGTAACAAAAAAACAAAACAATAATAACATGTTCATCCATAACCCGTTTCATACCTTTGTTGTAGGCAAAAAATGTGTTATAACAAACCTAATTTATGTTAATTAATTATAAAATTTGAATCATAAAAAGAGATAAAACCTAATACTTTAAGTAAAACATTGAGCGTTATAGTTATCCGAGTCGGCAACGCTCTCCAGAATGTGCCGAAGTAACTACTAAACCTATACCGTAAACCTTAAGTTATTTACTATTTTTAATACTAAAAAGGGTATTAAATACCCCCCCTCATGAATAAATAAACAAATATATTTTAGTTGAATACAAATAACAATAGACTACCAATAAAATAATATTAAAACAATATTTGTAATTTGTTGTATTTTATGTGAAACTAATGATGTTATGGCTAAAAAATACTCATCTTTTGAATTAAAAATGTTTAATGTAGGCTACAGTAATTTTTTTTTTAAATGTATACCTACTGCATTTCAGAGTACACGGCCAGAGTAAAATTATATTTATTTACAACAATTGAATATCACATTCCACATGCATAGTTTTTCTTATTATGCTTGTTTCCATTCATTATCTATTCGGTTTAACCGGAATAAAAAAATTTATGACGAAATCGTTACATTTGAACAACAATAATTATATTTATTAAATTCCCTTTATACTTTTAAAATTGTCACTTAACCAAATCTTTCTGCGTACTAGGTTTACTGTATGTAATATATTTTATTGTCATCGTCTGTAACTACATAAATGCCAACTAATTGAGGACTTTCCATTAATATTGTGTATGATACGTGACAAAAACTGTAAACACAAATAATGAATTATTTATTCAAAATTATAAGTTTAATCATAACTAACACATAAGCACGGTCCCATTTAAGCCAATTTAGCTCATTAATATAGTACTTAGGTATATATTTTATATAATTAATTAGTACACACATATTTTTAGTACCATACCATACTGTAAAGCACAAACAGCAGGAGAGCCTAAAAGTATTTCAATAAAGACATAAAGCCGTAGGAGTGCATTATTAAGCAGTTGGGGTTGTGGTCAAATGGCCCATATCCATTACATTCAGTGGTTCATTTACTTAGGCTGTGTTCGGTCCCAAATAACCTTATAATAAGACATCTGCTCCTCCCGCACGGTTAGTAACGGATGACGGTCTCTAAAGCTAATGGATAGGGCCGGGCGGTGGTTTGATTTTCAAATTGGGGTGGTTATTATGTTATAGGCCTAATACCATTAATTTTGTTTACATTTTGTTTGAATATACATGATTTTAGGGTGTTTATTGGCAATTATTTATAAATAAAGGTAGGATGAAAATTGAACTTTGTTGTTGAAGTGTGGGTTTTTGTAATGGTTTTTTCATGTGTACCTTTGCGCAATTAAACCCAACTAATACAGAAAATGTGATGAAATTTATAGAAAATTGTTAATAAAGAAAGCAAGATGTTAATTGATTCAATAAATTATTTAAATATTTTTTACATCCCTAGTTAATTTAATGTTTGCATGTTTTGAGGTTTTGTAATGTTTGGATATCCAATTAATTTGAATAAAATCATTTATTAAATGGAAGTTAGATTTTTAATTTTTGTTTTGTGGATAAGAAACACTGCCCCCTTAAAACATCAAGAATTCTATAGAATTTAAAATTAATTCAATTTACAGTATTACAAGATTAAATGTGACAAATCTGAAGTTAAACAATAGTGCCGTATAGTTTAAAAATGAATTCAAATAGTTTGGTGACAATGGAAAAGTATATATACACAGTTTTTTATCGTGATATTTTATAGATTTATTACATTGTTATGCATACTATCTATAGTAAATACAAAAGTCTAAAATCAAACAAAATTAATACAGGCCTAGTTTTTTTTAACATTTTTGTAAACAAAATGTTTACAGTTTTTAACATTTTGATTTGTCTATATAGCACAGATTTAAGAAACCATGCGTCTAAGAGCATTAAAAATAAAACTATGCATTGGCAATCGTCCGAGTTTCTATATTCTAATAGACAAGAAATGTAGCCTACTCATTGTCTAATGTACTCTCTGTACAAATGGTACCGTGGACTTTGTGAATGAATATAATAAACAAGCATACAATTACAATATTTATATAATTATAAGTCAAACATACTTCTTGGCCTAAGATAAACACATTTAAAAAGCTCTAAATTCTCTTTCCTTTATACTCTGGGGTAGCGTTTTATAATACAAATTCTCCTTTTTTACTTGATTTGTCTAATTATATAGAGTGAAGTAGAACTCAATAAATAGAAGAATAAAACTCCTTTGGTCAACAAACCTAATGAAGGAAGCAGCTTGTCAAAAGTGTAATAAATACAAGTAATAATAGGCTGGCGAAGGGGTCGAAGATAACGCGGAATTAACATAATTATCCGAATGTGTCGCAATGCATCATTCCTCGGCCGCTTATCTCTGAATTTACACGGAATTACGCCCGTTAACTGTCCACGTTATCCGAACTCGGATAGTACACTTGGTAAACATTTCATAAGCTATCTATAGACTGTTCAGCACAACCAAGTACAAGATTCATTGGGCGAATTTGTCTGGACATTGTTTTTAAATGTTAGGTTAATAAACACATTATTATTGAATGCATGTATATTGAGAACGACGATTTTTAACCGGTCATATGTTACAAGCTCTAATGATGATACAAGTTCTATCAGAAACAGTTAAAGATTAAACCTAATCTTATATGCAATTGGGATAACTTCGAATTTGTAAGGCTAACACTAAAATAAAATACTCGGTTAAATTATACATCCAAACACTGCTAAACTATGATTAATTTATTTTTCCAAGCGTACCTCAACGCACAATTTAATTCATATTCAATTCAATTAGCCTAGCGAGTCATTAACATCAATTTACTCAGATGGAGGGAGTAGCAATCAATACTGAAACTTTGCGCCAACTAAACGCAACAAGAGCAGTAAAGAAGCACTTGTCTGAGCATTAAACAATGCTTTGATTTGTACTTGAAAAGCCAATAAAAACATTATGAACCTTTGGATTCGCACCGTGTAAGCAAGGTGTAGGACAAGGGGGTGCGCGCACGCACATTGACGCGCAGGCGCTCCCTCCCCCTCCACAACATTTCTGACACAATTGCACTACTCGTGAAAACCGATCTGTCAATTCGATTGATAAGCTTTATTGGCATATCCGGTCCAAAATCCATTTGTTCCCCGGTGCAACTGTCATAGATTGCATTCAAATCCTCGTCCGAATTTCACGAGCGACGTCTCATTGGTCATTGGTCGACTGTCCGACACATCGGATGGACTAAAGTGATGTAATCAATGATTTGAACCACCCAACCCCTTTGATACGGCGCAGGTTAATGTGACAGTGTTGGTTAATTGGCAAAGAGACTTTGTAATTTTGAGAATGAGAATTTGTCGGGGGTTTCTTTTGTAAGGATGAAATCAAAGAGTTTTTTTTATTGCAGTATCTATCCAACAAGGATTTGGAGGAAAACAGTTATTGCACTATTATTTGTCGAATTTCGAGGTTTCATAAAATATTAATTTAAAATGAAAATAATCAAACTAGAATGACCCGTTATATTCCCGTAGATAATTATTTTTAAATGCAAAAATGTACAGAATATACGAAAAAATGTTGTTAATGCTTACTAGACAGATAGGAACAGGTATGAGCAAATCTCTGAATGTAAAAAAGTATTAGGCAATCGTGCACTTTGTATGTTATTTGTGTAGAAGCTGATCTGTTGTGATTGTAGTTGCAGACGTTGCGTGTTATTGTGTTAAAAGGGAAATAAATAACCTTAATAAAAAAAATACAAACATAATAATTGAATCGATCTTGCAAAGAAGATGAATAACAAACACAATTAGCTCTAAAAACCAATTTTTAAATAATTATTAATAATTTGAAATAAACTTGAAATATTTTGTGCTACTCAGTTACAAAGGCTCCTTCACATTCTTCAACACGAATAACAAGTTTTTATTCAACCACCCTCTCAATAGGGTAAAGGGTTAATGGTAGGAGGGGTGGAAGATAAGGGCACTTGGAACTGTGAACCGCTCTCGAGGGAGGAGCAAAAACGTCGGCACCTGAGAGGATAAGTGATAACGTTGATAGTCTCTGTTATACACCTCTCACCTGATCTTGTCTCTGTTGTACTGTCAGTTCCACGTTCAGTTTGACTCTCAATGTTTACATTTC